TCCCACGTCTCTTGGATCCCTTGGATCCCCACTACATCTACATCTCCTTGTTCTACTTGGTCCACTCGCTTGCGTTCGCTCCTTGCGAACCCGCACACGTTCCACGACCCAACTCTCAGCTTGTGCTTTTCCCTATTGGAGATTTTGCGCACTCTACCGGGCGCCTTCCGCTTCTTCTCGGCATTCTTCTGACTTGCCTGCTCGCCACCCCCGCTCGGTCCTTTCTTCGCCTCCGTCGCCCTTGCCTCTTGTCTCATTACCTTCTCTGTTTCTATCATGTTCGCGATGCAAACCCTTCATCCAATCTTGCTTCCGTAGATCGACAGCTTCTCGATGTCAACCCCCAAGCACTCTTGGCTGTCTCCCTTGGTCAATTTCACCCGGAAGTGTTCATGTTCTCTGCCTACTTGTCCCCTTGCTAGGCAGTGCAGTCCCTCCCTGTCACAACAGTTCTTGAACTCTATCCTCGTCATGTCCCTTGGAATCCCAAACAGCAGCAGCTCCAACTTGTCTCCCTTCCACAGTTTCTGCTTCCATCCTCCAAGCTTCTTCACCATCCTCATGATCTCTACGGCAACTGGACCGTGGCNGGAATCCCAAACAGCAGCAGCTCCAACTTGTCTCCCTTCCACAGTTTCTGCTTCCATCCTCTCGGCTACCCCCCATCCTCATGATCTCTACGGCAACTGGACCGTTGCCACTTGTTTTTCGTGTTTTTTCAGGAAGGTATACGGAATACTCGGCCTTCCCAATCGAGTGTCCGGCGGGGGTTGTGGTTCCTTTCAATTCTTTTGCCGGCCGGCGGGGGGAGGGGGTGGCGAAACGTTTTGTTTGTTTATTTTCCCTCATCATTCTGAGGCAGCACCTGTGACTGTATATTATTCGGAGGAAAAGACGCGAGTGTACTGAAATCAGTGTCATGGCACATCTTGACTAGGTCAACGAATCCCACTTGTACGTCCTGTATGGGCGAAAGACGCAGCTTGAGCACGCGGAGTTGTCGACAGGGTAGAGGACACATTATTATTATTATTGGTATTTTGCGCATACGAAGTGTTTGTGCTGAAGGTAGAAATGCGCACGTCCGCCCTCTGGTGTGGTGTTAACTGCTCATGCTGTAGCTCCGGAACATGTGCACAGGTGGCCTAGGTGCACATTATATGCACTCATTGTACAATGCCGAAAAACAAGCACTCTATTTTCAGTTGATACAACGTTCCAGGTTGCTTACCCCGGTGGCATAACCAGGCCGGGTCAGGTAAGCATACAAAGCATAACCTCGTGGGTTAGGGTAATCCTTGGCGTCGCCAGATTGGGCCCTCTGATCATGTAACGTTGTTTTGCCCCTCGGGACAAACGTTCGCAGCCGGATAAAAAGTCCCAGGTTTATGCTCTGTTGTATTCATACGTCGGTCGTTGATGCGTTAGCGCGTATTGCACATGTGCAGGTTCCCTTGCGTCAACACCGTGGTGATCGCATGACAACCCGGCAAAAAACAAACTACAGCCTACGCAGACAAAAAGAAACGACGCCTCAAACCACGGTTGAATAGAAGGGCATCTTGACAAAGAAAAGGTCCCAGCGACCAAAACCGTGGCCCGTGCTTCGTTTAGGGCACGCACTAGGCGAAACAGATTGTATGTGTACGCGCGAGATAATTACGGCGGGGCGAGGGCGGACAAGATGACCGCGGAGATCCCCGAACAAAGAACCATGCTGACGCAAAAAATATGAATACCTAGCCCCACACAACCATGGGCGGCTCCACACATGTTTTTCGACCGGCTCATCACTTCGCGACTTCCCGCGCAAACAAGCATTTGTGCCAAGGAAGCCAAGAGAAGAACAAAAGTTCACGATACTATAGTCGGTACAAGTGAGGATACACGCCCCGGTAGACACTTCTCCGCATATACTATACGGTTCGGAGATTGACCGACTGCCCAAACAGAAATTAAAACACCTTCAATGTAGGCCTTGACAAAACGACGGTCCTCATGCCCCTTCCCCGAGGTATGAGCACGTCACACATGCCAGCGAATCGAAAAGACACGGCGGTCGCTAACGCGGGCTTAAAGTCACCACCCGAGGCTGAAGCTTTCAACAATACATAACACCCTAAAAGCTGCAGCCCACCACCCCCCAGCCGCCGCCCCTGGTCCACTTTTCCCCAACTCACCCAGGCTCCACTCCAAATCCCGACCAACGTACCACCCGCACAATCGGACTTTCCACGATGCAAACAAGCAACGGCGCACGCCAAGTGCTCCGATGCGAGTGACGGCACGCCATCGTCAACCGTTCCGTCCGCACACACGATATGGTCTGGATATTGACCGAAAACACAAAAAGCATTAGGGCGCTGACATGCTCCCCGTCCCCAACCATCGAAAACAAGCGCCGCGACGGTAGCACCTGATCGATGCCAGAGAACCGAAGAAACACACCGGTCGTTTCGCCGGCCTTTTGAAGGAGATGTTCGCCATGCCGTAGTCGCGCTGACGTGAACTCTTCCCTCATATGGCTGAAACATATACAGGCAGTTCAAACCAAGCTAAGCGGGGAAGGTGTCATCGATCGGCCCGGGAATTCGGTTTCGATAGGGTATTGCAGACGATGGGCCGGCAATCATGAATTTGAGTGTCGATTGAGGACTTTACTTGAACCACAAAAAAAAAGTCGTAAAGTTCAAACACACTCCAGTGGAAATGGGTTACCTCCTGCATGTGATAGGGGTACTGGCAAGAACCTGCATTGGCAGTTACCCAAGAGCTCAAAGGATTATTTCTGTTTCGCGAAATTGAGGAGTTGGAATGTACTAACAAGGTCGCTACGGAACAGATAATCGCCAACGAACGCACTGCCCACCCTCCTAGGGCCCTCCTAGCCTTGTACACCTTGAAACACCCTAAGTATCCTTCTACCGCTACCGTGGAAGGCCAAGTCGAACGAACTCGATGCACTGCACAAAACAACATGGGTTACTCGCCTAGATGAATCTTCTAGTCCTCAGGCTCAGTGTCGCCAGCACTCACCCCTTCTGCGGGGCTGTCACAGTCATACTCGCTGCTGCTGCCTGGGACGTACTCCGGCTCGTTGCCGTTTTCCTGATCGCTCTGGACGGACTCTTCATCGCTGCCCTCGTCTTCACCGCTGCCCTCGTCTCCACCGCCGCCCTCCTCTCCACCGTTACTCCTCTCCACTGCTGCCCTCCTCGTCGTCACCGCCAGCGTCGCTCATGTCGCCGACGCCGTCAGTCAGGTTGTCGTAGGTGGCGGCGGTTTCAGCGGTTGCATGGAAAAAAAAAGCCCTCGGCGACTTCCAGTCAGCATTCGTTAGCTGCTGGCAGTTTGCCCCGAGCTTTCTGGACGAAGCCGAGCATCATGACCTTGTACCTGTGATGCAAATGGGTTGGGCGAGACGACAGGAGAAACGTCAGCGGTTGGAATGCTGAGCCGAAAGACCTAGTTGCGGAAGAACAAGTGCGGGATTGGTGCACCGCTGCACCCTGCCTGGATGTAAATTCAGGACACGCAAGACCCATAACATTACCTCGTGATACCCCTCTTCTACCAGGAGTGCCAACACGCACTTGCTCAACAACAGACAACGAAAAGTGTACAAAGGCAACAATATTCGAGGGTTAGTCTTACCGAGCGAGGAAGGCCTTGTGATTTTTGTCGCCTCCGCCCGAGGGAAGGTTTTCCTTCGTCTTCATCAGCTCCCGGATGGTGCGACGGGTGTTAGAGCCCGGGGGGTCTTCGGTGCCGTCATCGCCGTCCGACTCGGAATCACCCCCTTCCTGGGATTGCCGGTGGACGCCAATCACTGCCGCGAGCAGCGCGCCAATGTCGCCCAGAAACCCCTTGGCGAGGGGGAGAATGACCTGCGACCAGTTTCATCCGGGGGGGGGGAGGGGGGGATGGATGACCCAAACGATTACCTCGCTTAACGACCGAACCACCGGGAGACCTCGCTTAGCGACCCAAGGGAGATATAATGCTTTAGGTTCTCCTCCCACCACCGGTTGGCCTCGGCCCCTGACGTCAGCATGGCTTCACCGTCTGGTGAGCTGGCCTGGGCACCAAAAAGCGATACCGGCCTTCCCGCCCCGTCAGGCGCGAAGACAGGGGACTTCCTCAACCAAACCAACGCCTTCTCCACCGCGTCTGACCGATCTCGTATTAGGCCGGGCACATACTTGCGATCCTTCACCGCCGGGATCAAGTGTTCCTCGACCTGGGCAATGGCCTTCGTACGGTCGTCGCAGATCCGCGGAAGTTTCGCGAAGTACTGCAGGGTTATCCTCGTCATAGCCCCCTTTGCAATTTTGTTGCACATCTCTTAGTATTCGTCGCCAAACACATTCGTGTAGTCCCTGTCGCTGAACGAAGCGGTGAAGAGGGTGCCGATCGTCTCCAAGTTATTCGCTGGAATTCTCGCAAGGGTCGTGAGATGGTTTATGCAGAGAGTGACGTAGTTCGTCTTGCCCGTGGCCCCGACCATAGGGGCCAATTTTCGCAGGGCCATCACACACATGGGGTAGTTTCCCGTCCGACCGCCCATCCTTAACGCGAGATAGGCAGGGTAGTCTTCAAGCAGGAACGGCGTCCACAGCTTTAGGGTTTGGTGTGTGCTTGCCCTCTGCCGGAGCCACGCAGTTACAGAGACTTCTTGGCCTTCAACCTTCCTGTCGTCAGCGTTGTAGAGCTCAAACACAATGCACCACAGCGCCTAGAAAACCACCGTGAGGAGGTGGTGATTGCGCCGGTAGTTGCTCCCGTCGGCCGCGTGTTTGTCTTCAGCCCCAAGTAGTCTCGCGATAGCTTCCACTCCCGCTCCATAATATAGTTGTAGCAGCGCCTTGCTGGCGTGCAGCAGAATGTGCCACCCCCCCGGGTGAGGAATGAGCCACTTGCATACTTCGGGTTTCGTTTGCTTCGCTTTCACCATAAACGAATACGTCTCCTGATCTCCTTCCACCAACACCATGCGCGACACCGTCGGAACCTCCTCACTAGTGTCCGGGTCCGTGCTCCACGACGTCTTCATGTTGCCACACACACCCAACCTGTCCAGTGCCGCAAAGTTGTCTTCCTCGCTCTTCGTCGATCCGGGCTGAATCCACAGATTCTTGCTCTTAGTTATATTTTTCGCCGGAGCCAAAAACCTCCTCACTCGCACTTCCAGGCAAGAGCGGCCCTTCCCGGGGTCATTCAGGTACATTGGGCTACACTTTAACTCACCCAACAATTTGCCAAGCCAACCACACCACGCCGTGTCGTGAGCAGCCTTGTCACCACCCCATCGCACCATGTCCACCGTCAAGTTCTTGACTTAATAATGGCGGCCCCAACGGGAGTATTTGCTCGTGCCCAGCCGCTCCATTCGCACTGCCATGCTCTGCTGTGCTAAACCTCGCCGTAGGATCCACATCATTGTTGTCCAGGGACAACATTATGGCTTTCCTGGGGTCGTTCGTCAGAAGGTCCGTGTCCGCAACCTTTATTAGGTAATTCTCACGCACCCACCTCACACCGTCCCCCGCGCATAGATTAATAGAAGTTAGAAACGACATTGGCTTCGCCCCAACACCCCAGTACTTTAAAGCCTGTGACAGCTTCAGGAAATGAGGAGGCCTGAATTCGTCCTTATGAACGGCCCGTCCGAGCATCGTAACAACCATGTAGGCGAATACATTCTCCCGTGTCGATCGCCTCGTGAATTGCAACTCCTCAAAATTTTCCCATTCCTCCCCATCCCGCGCCGGCACATCGAACCGACGAGGGTCCCAGCCACAAACGGCCATCAGCAAGCATAGAAGTGTTGGCGGGCAGGATTCTTTCAGGAACGCCACCGGGTCTTGGACGTTCGTTCTGATGTCATCTTCCATACGGGCGTTTTAGTTTTCCACGGTTTCCATTCGTTGATCACCCTATGCACCGCTTCACCCGCCTTCCTCACCGCCTCGTATTCTGCGTCGTCTCCCGGTTCCGGCAAGGGAGGGACAGCGTCGGCCCCGGAAACGCCACTCCCCCGCTGCTTTGCCGCCGAATCCTCGTCCTCTAACTCTACGATCCTCTTGTCCTTCGCCTGACAACCCAGGTGCAGGTTGGCTACGTACCGCGGGTTGAAATGGACGGGCATGACGACGTGCATGACTCTCCGGTCGTCCGATATATTTATCTCATCGGCGTCAAGAGTGGTGTAGTATGCGTTATGAACACTCGCCCCCAGAGCTTCGAGCATTTCTTTGTTTTTTTTTAGGGAAACCAAACCTTTATTCTCCGTGGGCGCTGGGATGCCGACGTCACTCCTTTTCGCTGTCAAAGTGTCGATGCCGTCATCCAATGACACCAGCTCTCCGTTCTGCAACCTCCACAACAAACTCAGCATCGTCGCGTGTACAGCGTTCTCCGCGGCACTTTCCGTCGACGGTGTCTCGCTGTCGCTCTCCAGGTGCTTGATGAACTCGGCAATGCTCATCAGCTCCGTGGTCTCGAGATTTCTCGTGTTGTGGTAGCCTTCCATGAAACAACTTTGGCAGACGAAGCTGTCTACACCGAAATCTTTGCTTCTAGGTCGAAACGAAGGCTTACTACTCTTCCGCGAACGAAAGTGTCAAATGAAAGCAGAGATACACACCCCGCCCTTGTGCCACTTTACTTGTAGGGGCCGTCCGGCGCAGATCCCGCATGTCCTTCGCCTTGCGTTCCTCTCATGCAAGGTGAAATTCGCGCAAAAACACCCCGCTCTGCGGCACACACAACTTGTGCGACTCGGTACAAAGTCCGAATAGACGGGCCCGTTCGGGATACACAATTCCGACTTGTTCTCTTCGAGAAATCTTGTGCATCGGCAACACGTTCGTCAGTTTTGAAGTGCTGCCACCTAGTATTAGGGTGCACTTTTCGACACGCGTGGCAAGCCCTTTCACCATCATCCAGCAACAAGCCACACTCGTACTCGCCGCACGCTGGTCGAACCCCTCGCCGCCGCTTGCCGTTGCTAACCCTACGAGAAGGGGAATCGTTGGCACTTGGTGTGCCATACTGCCCACCCTCCGCCGCAGCAGCATCCGACTCGCCGGCCGCAGTCGTGGTGCCCTGGCTGTCCCCCGCCAAAACTATGATTTCCGGGCTCCTTAGCTGCGGCACTGGTGCGCGTTAGCTTCCTCACAACGCCTCCCAACCCACGCCTCATTCTTCGACTCGAATTCGTCCCTTCTCGTGTCTGGGTCACGCAGCACGGTGTCCCGTTTGTGCCCTGTGCGCCAACCATCGGTGGACACCGGTAGCCGAGGTATTTGCACTCGTGATCATGGAACGAAACCACGCCGTACGCGTCCGCAACAGTTACACACTCGCGAAAATGGAATCTTCGTACGTTGCGGTCGGCTGACCATTTCCGAGCGCGACGGGTAGCGTGCTCCCTGCTGCGAAGAGGCGGTTGGGTGCATCCAGTGACATTTGCGGAACCCTGTGCCGCTTGCTTCGTGGCACCACGCGTGTCACGGGCAGGATGAGGAGGGAGCACTGGGCGATTCCGACCGGTACCTCCTGACGGCACCGAACGTCCAACACCCTTACCTGCCAAAAAATCGACACCCCGTAAACACCAAATCTCGTTTGAAACCGGGACGATTACCACCCACGAACGATGGCATGCCAACTTATACTACTTCGCGGAAAGAGGGGGGTGGGGGGGGGGGGCGTGGACCGACGACACAGGTTGGACCCTTTCGTGTGATCCAAGTTTTAAATCAGCTGCTGCTAGCCTTCTACACAGACTCTGCACTATTTTCTGTTGAGTCAACGACGGGGTGGACATTATTTCTTCCCACATGGCCATCACTAACCATCAGGATTGAGCACACGTACGTCCCGATTGCATTTCAATCTCCCCGAGCGCGGGTTCTCCAGCAAATTAAAAGCCATGAGAGCATACATTGAGCACATCACATGGTGACCCCTTCAAATTTCTGCATGTTCACACAGTGTTACCGACCTGAACAATGGACAAACACCAATGGTTCTCACCTTCCTGTGCGACCGCCGGTGTTCCTGACACCGGTAACCTCCTAAGCATGTACCCCGCGCCGAAGAGCGCCTCGATGGTCCCGTCTACTACGTCGCTCCACCCGCCCGGGCCACCGTCCTGGAGGAGAATAATCCCTTCCCAACCATCTACCATCAACTTGGCATCATGCACCGCCGCGGCCCCGCAGGCACGAACCAGTTCCCTCTCCACATCTTTCACCCATGCTTGAGCTTTCAGATCCAACTTCGTCCTCTTCCGCGGCCGTGGAAAGAGAAGCAGGCCTGCGACGACATCAGCAACACGATCGTTGCGCCTTTTAATGCGTGCAAATTCCTACTGGTAGACATTTCAGGCGGTGCGTCCATGCCTCTAGCGCGGGGAAGATCAAAACCAGGTGGCATCCTGTAGTAACCCTAACCCAACTTACTCTTCGTGTTACGGCGCCGGATACATCCACATCGTGCACACTCACCACTTCGCACGCTAGGTCGAATTTTGTAGGTAGACCGTGCCACATGAGGTAGCAGAAGACTCATTCGTGCGGCTGTTAAACAACTGCTGACAAACAGTGGAAGGGCGGGAACGGGTGGGGGGGGCGACACGGAGGCCAGGGTCAGCGATGCTGGGAGGGTGAGCAGGAAAAAGTTCGTGCACATTGTCGCTCATGACGGAAGCGGATGTGTAGCAGCAAAGACTTGGACACCGAGGTTGCCTGTGTCGACGAGGCAGACCAGCCATAGAAAAAATATCTGGATACAAGTAACGCACCTCGTCGCGCCTTGCAAGGGTCACAATTTAAATCTATCGACTAGTCAACACTGCTGGTGAGGTAAGGCGACAGGGAATTGGTGTTCTCCGGGCCGGCTGTACAAAATGCATAGCCTACGTAAGATACCACACCCTGTGTTGTTAGTGAACTATATAGCAAGGGCGGTTACGGTGCCGAATATGGTGGCGTAGGGACCCACCTCGTCGAAAGTTACCCCTATGCATCGTTTGACTATTGGCATCCTCCTCATCGTTAAGTACTCGATGTTTACAAGTCGGTCGAAGGGGGTGTGGTATCTGGGGCAAAATACAGAACGGCGTTTCGTGTTGTCATACTACAATTGATGTATCATAGGCGTGCGGATCCGAGGGAGTACTTTTGAGTTCGCTGTCAAACTACGAGCGGCGTCCGTACCCAATCAGCCCCGCTGTGCTGGTTAGTCCTGCTAGGAGCCTCGACCAACACCGCTTGTTCTGGTCTCTCGTGAGTTCAAATTTTTAAAATCTAGACTTGTAGCAGTCCACCTCTACTGTACCTGCTACCTCTGCATGCTGCTACATATAGTCTAGTCTAGACTACGTTCAATTTTTTTTTTTTTGAAATTGGTTCCTTCCAACTCAACAGCCACAGCTGTCAACTGCACTACAGCAGCAGTAGACCTACAACCAAACCCAAACACCAGCGCACAAGCACATCGTCCTGGATCTCAAAGGTGCCGTGAGCAATGCAGGGCGCACGTTGCCACCTCACTGCTGTCGCACATCACGTGTTGTAGATCGTGCTGAGCAACGCCGTGCGTAACAGGCAAATTTGTGCGAGTTGGAGACATATTGAAGGGCATGCTCATGGCGCCTGATATCAATTGACGCCAGGGTTCCGGCTACCGTAGCAACGAAGAATCCTTGCGTATCTCACCTGTTGGAGACACCCTCTACGCGGCACCTGGGGTTCAAGCTCTGTGGGTGTCGATGCACCTAGGGGTGTTCGACGGTAAAGACGAGTTGTCTCTCCCGCGGCGAGGAAAAACTCGAATGAAAAACCGTATTTGGATACATGTGTGAGACGACGTTTAAAAGCATAAAAAAAAGAGAACAAAAAAAATGTGATCGAATCGCCTTGATTGTTTTTCTTCACCGCGTTGCCGATTTCGGCGCCTCCATTTCTCCTCGGCAATGATCGATTCCGCTTGGCCGATTTAGAGGGGGTAGAGCCTCTTAGAAAGTTGATCAGACAAAAACTCGACGTGGGAACCGAGAATGAATCCAAAATCCCAGGAATTTTGAAATTGCTCAGCTACTGTCAGCTTTTGAGCAGCTGAAAGTCCGTTGCAAATCAAAACTGGGACATTCCAACAATATATTTGTGATCCCCACCTCAAAATTACCCTAATTCGAAGTCAGGAGAGATTGAATCAACATGTAGAAAGTGTTGCGGGAGGGGGGATATTTCAATGTAATTCCTAGTGATTCCAGGTTATCCCTGCTTTCGCGCATATATATCAGTGCGTAGCTGTATCACGGCCGCATCGATCCTGATCGAAATTCTGACGACGGATTCTTGGTGTACAGTCGAACCTCGCTTATTAAGTTAACACATGGTTTTCCCGAAAAAAAGTTAACTTAAGGCGGGGAAGTTAACTTAAAATTCAGGGGACCACAACTCACCATCCCCGGGGCCAATAGAGGCGGTGAATACCTCAAGAGACGCGCATTGGGCTCCACTACGTGTTTGACGAGAGAGGAGACTGAAAAAAGTGAAAGGGAGCATATTTTTATGTCCGTTTTACTCAACAACACTATAACCGAGATGCTATGTTGGAACGCTTGAACCCACGCACACATTTCTCAAAACTGTCGTCCATCGCAATGTACAGCCACTCCTGTGTAGTAGTCTCATGCGGTGCCACGCATTCAAGACATACATACATAGGCCACCCCAAACACAGCTCTGGTCGTTTGTACCGCACACTCTACGACCTCCACATGTCGCGCAGAGTTGCCTGCAGCTCCCCCCCCTCCTTGGCTCGCCGCTTCACTTGAGTTTTGTGAGTGAACGAATGCACAACTTTCGAGAGCAGGTACTGGGTCTCGCGGTACTCCCCATCCTTTCCGTTCGCGTACAAGTAGGAGCGAACCTTCTCTAGGCTACCGCGAATTTCGGCCTCTGTCATCGAAGATGTTACGCACGACTCTGGTCTACCCCCACCATCTTCATCGTCCGTGGAGTCATCATCAACCGCTAGGTTAGCCAGGTTGTTCTCTACAATCTCCAGTTCCATAGCTACCTCCTCTTCCAACACGTCAGGGTCATCCTCAACGGAAAGCCACGTCTTCACTGCCTCACGCACTTCCGCGCTAGTGAGGCCTGGGTTTACTTCAACAAACAAGTTCTCCTTCAAAACCCGCGGCGTTTTTTTGGAGTCGTTGGCGGCCACGACGCCAGAAGGCATCGTTGCCTTCTCGAACAAGTCGCAGAGGTATTGAGGGGGTCCGTGGACTGTATTTTTACCCCCCCTGTGTGTAATACTTTCTGCGGGGCACCACACCATGTTTCCGAAAAAAATTGTTAACTTTACCGGGGGAGTTCACTTAATTTTCGTTAACTTAAGCGAGGTTCGACTGTACAACACAACATTACCCTAACCTGAAAATTTTGTACGATTCGGAGGCGTTTGCAACTTGCTCGGGGGGCCCGCAGGCGCGATTTTCACCCAATTTTGGCCACTATTTCATCAATAAGTCATCACCACGACATCCAAATGGGAAAATAAGTATATTTTCGTAATCCTCGTGACCTAACGGATGTTGGTACAAATTTTCAGAGGTTGGGAACCATTTCTTGCTGCTCATTGAAAAACTCATGGAAACTATTCGTCTTTACCGCGGAACACCCCCTTAGCTAACACACGTGCCTTTCGAGACATGCCCTACCTATTGTTTGGTGATGGTTCGTGAGGCGTTCCGATTTTTGCTAACACGTGTCCCCGGGCAGCAATAAAAAAAATAATCGGGCATAACTACACTGATGGTGTATGACTACAACAACTAACAACCATATATATATTCGCTTGTTGATTTTTGCTAACTCAGGGCGAGCAAGGAGAAGAAGTATGAAGAAGTCAAGCGAATACCGTATTCACGACCGGAGACCTTCTGCTCCTTTTCACAAGCCACCTTCGAGGCTCACTACTACCGCTGTTCCGGCTCATCGACCGAACTCGGTACTGATCGAGAGGCAGCTACCATCATGTCGGTAGCAGTGTCTGCAGGTTGGGGTCCCATGTACAATCCTCTCTGGACAACTCCTCTTGACACCCAAGGTCCTGCCACTTGAATGGCCAGAGACCACACAGACCCACATAGACATCGGGCCAGCCCCTACCTATCCCTAGCCTCTCCATCCGTTTTATGGTGTCCAATCCGAGAATCGGATTTCGGTTTTCAGTTGGTTGTTATAGTGATATACCATAGTCCCCAGCACACAGCACAGCCGCCATGGCAAAAACAAAGTCCCGGAGGGTGAGAGGCTCAAGCCATGTCCTCGACCTGGTTACGAGTGTAGCGCCTGTGGCTTGTCGTTCAGCTCATTGGATAACGGCAAGCAGCAAATCGACAGCCGCGGTCGCTCCGGAGTGGCACCTACAGCAGTATAGTTACGCCGCATCCCAACAGCGGTGGTGGAGGGGGCAGGGTTAGGAGCAACAGCAGTGATGGTGAGCACTCAACAACCATTGCTATCTAGATGTGATTGACGTATTGGCCCACCAGGTTGATTGACCTTGGGTGGTGTCGTGGTGAACCCCGCAAGTCTATACTTGCGACTTGCGACAGGCTGTTCGATTCTCCCTTTGGGTTGCAGGAATGCACACTTCAATGCAAAGAGTGGAAAACAGTTTGTTTCAGGAGTATTGCACCGGTTCACACAAATCGAGGGGGGTAGGTAGAGCATGAACTCAAGGCTATTGTCCCTCACGTACGAACACGGAAAGACTTGAGCACTGGTGCTGCGATAGGTCTGGCGATGAGACAAGCACACACACGTCCCTCTCGCCTGATCAACTTACATAACTGTATTTAGACTACAACAGCAGTACCAAGGTGCTTCACGAAATGACGCTGCGTTCCCCCTCATTGTCAGCGATATTTCGCTGTGCACTAGCGGCAGTACGATACTGCAGATGCCAGGAGGCTGTGTAGCCTACCTCAGAGGTTCACACTCTGTGCGTCTCCAACCGCGAGAGACTTGGAATGGAAATATGGAGATGCTTTTATTAGTTGCTGACTCCCGAGTCAGATGTTGCTGGTACTGAAGAGGAGTGAGAGGAGTGGGCGAGCTTAGGGCTGCACCACTCTTCTCGAATACCGGACAAATAAGCCAATCACACGAAAGATCCAGAATGCTTCCAGAATGATTTCTGGAAGCCCTCCTACGTTCTAGAAGAGTATCAACTGCAACCTAGATCTAGAACGCTTCCAGAAGCTTCCAGAAGGAACCAGAAGTTTCCAGAAAGGCTTCCAGAAGCTACAGAAGGAACCAGAAGTTTCCAGAAGGCTTCCAGAAGCTACACACGTTTTACATAGATGTCCCGGTCAACCTTGACCTAGCATGCTTCCGGAATATTTCTAGAACAAGAGAATACATGCCAAGGAGAGATGGAT